GATGTACCTTGTGAACTTGAAAACCCGGTTAAACCTAAAATACCTTGTAAACCTAAAAAAATCGATTGAGTCCGTGAAAGTATTCCCCGAAGTTAGTAAACTTGTTGGAATTGTTGGAGCAGACCCATGCGACATTGATTTGCTTCTGCAGACGGAGCAGATGAGGGATGACGAAGTGCGTACCTTGCGACAGAAATTGGAGAAAGGAGAGATAGAACGGTTTGTTTTGATTGATGGAATAGTTTATAGAAAGAATGATAACGGAAGGTTATGTTTGTATGCCCCAACTCAAATGCAAGAACAGTTGATCAGATTAAGTCATGAAAAATGTGTTGATGACCTGAAAAATAAGCATTGGTTTCCGTTGTTGAGAAGCAAAGTTGAATACTTTATGCGCAATTGTTTGCTATGCATCCTTCATTCAGTACCTAAAAGTGTCCATGACCGTACCCTCTATAGTATTCCGAAGGTCCCAATTCCGTTTGATACCATTCACATTGACCATTTGGTTCCGTTGCCTTGTATCAATTAAAAAGAAAACACCTGTTAGTTACTATCGACGCTTCTACCAAATTCGTGAAATTGTACCCAGTTAATTCTACCAGTACCAAAGAAGTTAATGCCAGTCTTTCAAAATACTTTGAGTATTATAGCCGACCGCGACGAATTATTTCGGATCGTGGTACCTGTTTTACATCATTTGAGTTTTCTAGTTTCCTAAGTGAGCGAAATATAGGGCACGTTAAAGTTGCTACCGCAGCCCCTCAGGCGAACGGTCAGGGGGAACGCATAAACCGTGTGTTAACCCCGATGTTATCCGATTGGTACAAGTTGGTCAACCGAGATGAATTTGCAGTTAATAATTCCATTCAGAAGAGTACTGGAAAAACTCCTAGTATTTTGCTTTTTGGTAGCAACCAGCGGGGACCCGTTGTAGACGAATTATCCGAATATCTTGAGGAGAAGTTTAGCCTTTCTAACCCGTGTGATATTACATCCGAAAGGATAAAAGCTAGTGAGAATATTAAACGGTCACAAGCTCGTAATGAATCCATATATGCCCTAAGACACAAAGCACCCATGAAGTATAATAATAATGACTTTGTTGCTATTCGCAATATTGATGTTAGGCCTGGACATTGTAAGAAATTCGCATCTAAATACCGTGGGCCATACAAAATTAGTCGAGTACTTCCCAACGATCGCTACGAGGTAACCAATATAGAAGATTGTCAGCTCACACAACTGCCTTGTAGAGGAATACTGGAAGCTGCAAGGTTAAAGCCGTGGATGCAGGTGGGTAATAAGACTATAGGATTGTGCGTGTGATGATCGAGGCCGATCAAATGTCAGGTTGCCCGAATGTAAAAATCTAGTCGATATCATGACGAACTATTAGCTTTAAGTGTGAATTGTTTATTATAAACATCTAGTCAATATCATGACGAACTATTAGCTTTAAGTGTGAATTGTACATATATAATAGTCGATAAATGATGTGAACCGATAGACGGACACATAAATGTAAGATAGGATTTAAGAGAACCAGAGGACGGTCACTTTAGACCGGCTTTTGGTGAGAAGAACACGTTTTGGAGAGTAAAAACTAATAAAATAAAACGAAGCCCATCCTAGTGGCTTGTAAAAAACTAAAAACGTAAGCTGTTTATACTTTCAACATTTTTCTGTTAAACAACTCGTTGTACTAGCCCGTTTAATGGGTTATATTTAACTAATCGGTCATGTATGAGGAGAGTAAGCTTGGGTATTTTCATGACTTGGTGTCTTCAGTTCTATTGAAATTCTTTTCACTGATTCGTTTTGATATGAAAGATCAATTACAATAATTGGGGCCACAATAATAAGGGCCTACTAGTTGCTTACTAGTGCTTATTAGCCGGTTACTATCTGTTTAGTAGATGTATACAAGTTGTTTACTATTTGTTCTTAGCTGGTTACTAGCTGTTTAGTATCTGGTTTCTTTTTGTTTAGTAAATGTATACAAGTAGTAACCCACTTGTTATTAGCTAGCTCTAACTAGCTCTTTAGTATCTGTTTACTTGATGTTTACTAATTGTTATTAGCTGGTTACTAGTTGATATGTTGAGCTGTTATAGTCTTTTGTTAAGAATGATCAAAAATTCTTCATCGCTAGACGACTTTCGATGTGAAGTAAAAACTTACACTCTGATTTTCAATGTGTTTGCTGTGTTCGTGAGACAGATCGCACAACCAAAATATCTGAAGATTGATATAGAAATCTTAGAGGAACATGTCCGATTATGTTGGGGAAAGATGTATCCTTTGATTGTAAAACTAATTTAGAAATAAGTTGTTCACAAGTTGTCTAAAAGCTGTTTGGAAGCTGTTTTGATAAACAATTTATATTTATAATGACAGAGATTAAGAATATATAACTACTAGTATATACTACACCTTAACTAGTATATTGTAAAAATAAAACATTTCTTTTTTTATATTCTTTCGTCTTATGTAGGTATAAAAAATGTATCCTTAACTACGATAGCTAGCCTTACATCCCATAACTATAGTTATTAGCAACAATAAAATGTCTAGAAAGATCAAAATGTATGAATGTCAAAAAACGATTTAAACTAACTATAATTGGGAAAGTAACTGAAATCGTAAATCGTAATACAGTAAAAACAAAAACAATGTGATTATCCCATTTTCTATCACCATAACATATGTCTGTGACTTTTACTTATAAATTTGTCACCGATAATTTAAATCCCGATAAGCAAAGCACCCATTGCTCTGGTGAGAGATACGACACTGTGGTGCGTTTTGCCAATGAGTGTTGGCTAGTTTGTAAAAATAGTTTTTTATATATACCTTGCAAGTTGCCATGGGCATGCCGACATTATCCTTTCCTGGGAGCAGAGGCATGATGGTGCCCTGCCTGGCTAACTCGTCCGCTATGCAGTTGCATACGATATCCCAGTGACCCAGAACCCATATTAGGCTGATAGTAATCTGACTAGCCAACTCGTGGAGAGATCTGCGAAAGTCTGCAATTGTTGGGGAGTTTGTGCTTGTCGATTAGATCGATCTATTAGGTGCTTGGCTGTTACTATATATATTTAGGTGTTCTCTTTGAAGGCTTATGTTCCCTAAATGGTTAAGTGCTTCCTTTATAGGGTGGACCTCCGCTTGGAAGATGCTTCAGTGGCCCGGGAGCCTGAAAGACTTCCTGATATTTAATTATTCGGAGTATACACCTCCTCCAACGTGTCCCTCAAATTTGGAGCCATCTGTATAGAAGTATATTGCGTCTGTCATGCCCGGTCGGCCCTGCTCCCATTCCTCTCTATCTGGAATCAGGGCCTCAAAGGGTGTGTGACTGTATTCAAGATATTTGCATAGAACCGTTTTCTTTGGAATCCATTTATCATGCTGGAGAATTTAGGCATGACCATAAAATTGAGCTTTCCACTGCCCGGTATCCCTCAGTAGAATGGCTGCCGGTTTGGCCCATTCCATGCCTGCTAAGTCCAGGGTAGGGATGCTTAAGATCGCATTCAGCGGTCATTTGGGGTATTTTGAAGAACTCCACTAATAAAAAAAGCCGCCATTCGCTGTACTTTGTTAAGGGGAGTCAAGATGCATTGTTTGTGCAGAGCGGTCCACCACAGAGCCACCACGCATGCGGAGCGACACATGCCTGTGGCGCCCAAAGTTTTCATGCTAGATACAAAATTTTAACTAAAATGTATTAGTCTCGTCAATACCTATTGATTGACCTAAAAAAAATTGCCACGCCAACTCTAACGCCCATAACGCTTAAATCTGTCTAGCACCCACATAACCATATATTGAGATCAGGGGTAGCTGGCGCATTTCAGTCTCGCTTTGCTGCTTGCATATCTTAATTTTCCATTTGTCCCTTTAGCTGAGTAACGGGTATCTGATAGTCGAGGTACTTGACTATAGCATTGTTCCTGGTTTTTTTATACATTCTAATATTTTGATCACAATAGTTTCCAGGTTTACTAAGAAAAATTATAGGCTACAGACAAGGGGTCAGAATACAACTCATTCCACTAGAAAATGTTATTTTATTATCATTAATTTTAAATTCTTTATATCCCAATGTTAATTAATTGCTTGCAGTTTTTTTTGGTCCATAACCTTTATCCAACACATTTCCTCTCGTCAAATTACTGATATTAAAATCATAATTATAACTAGTGTTATTATCTTCTGGCTCTGCATCCACACCCATATGGACCTCTTCTGTATACATTGGTAAATATGTTTTTCCTTTCTTCTTAACTTCCGTCTGCTTTTTCTCCTTTTCTATGTCTTCCTCTGTATTCGTCTGTGAAAAGAATTAATTATAGGAATCACTATCATCTATGCCTAGCGCTATTTATTTGAACTTGCTATCTAGGATTTTTCTGACAGTATGGCGTGTTTATTGAATTTTAATGCCTCACCCCAAGCATATTTCGAAAATGTGTCTACAACAGTCAACAAGTATCGGTACCCATCATTAGATTTTGAAAAAGCTTTCATTTTAACGAAATCTGCTTGTCACAGATCGATTATACGCCTTGTAATCACTCGTCTTCGTTAAAAGTTTTTTCGAGAATGTTCGTGCAAGTCATTTACGATAGTAGGGTGTATTTGTATGTTCTGGATAAAACGATGGTGTATTTGTATGCTCTGGATAAATTTGTATTGTATGTTCTGACTCACTGTTTCGCTGGTGCGGGGGCGCTTATCGCTTGCGTAAGTTGTTGTTGTGGAAGTTGCTAGGGCCGCGCTCACTCCCCCTCCCACTCCCCCTCCCAGTTCCCCTCCCGCTTGTCCTCCCGCTTGTCCTGGTGCTTGACCCTCTGGGGGGTTGCGCTCACTCCCCCTCCCCCTCCCCCTCCCCCTCCCCCTCCCCCTCCCCCTCCCCTCCCCCTCCCCCTCCCCCTCCCCCTCCCCCTCCCCCTCCCCCTCCCCCTCCCCTCCCCAGCAGCAGCAGAGTGTTAAGGCTCTCCCGTTTGACACACCGATTGTGATAAAGAACGCTGAAGTGAAGCAGACACGCTTCGGCGCTAAAATTATGCTCACATTTGAAGATTTTGTGGTGTTCTTACCAGAACGCTTTAGTACTCTGTCATCGCAAGCTGTGGAGCACATGGCGACGGGGGGCTACAAGCTAGTCAAACTTAAATCAGAAGGGGATAATTATATTTTAAATTTTTGTAACGAATAAGAAAAAAATAAAATAAACTTTTTTTATGAATATTTAAAACAAAACAAAACAAAAACAAAAATGGGTGATGCTTTACATAACAATAACAAGCCTGGGCCTAGTAACACAAATCCTGTCGCTAGTGAAATACGATATTGTGATGTCTGTAATCTAAATGTTGCTAAAATTAGTTGGTCGCATCACTTACGCACCAACTTGCATAAACAATTATCTGGTGCGCAAATAAGTGATAACTTGCGGTGTATAAGAAGTGCATTTCGGAATCGTATTGAAACTTATATAATCACAAATCCAAATAAAGAATGCTTGGATATCAATTTATTTCAACAATCAATCAAAGAACAAGTGATCACTCTACTCCAAGAAGCTCAAAAAAAACACGTCAATATCAAATTTAATTTTGAACAATTCTGTAATTATGTTTTGATTAAAGAGAGTGAAGATCATTGTGAAATCAATCTAAAGTCATTTCAAACAAAAATGCAAGTCTTAAATCAAACAATGAGTCAGACTGAAAATCTAAATGAAATAATCAAAAATTTAAATGACTATATAAAAAGTGAGATGAGCGAGTTTCAAGAACGAGACAGTGGTTGGTCCCTAATTGAAATAGTTCATTTAGAAGTTAATATAAATAAATATCAGCTAATAAAGGGCTCGAATTTCATTGGTTTACCAAGAGAAATAGTAAACAGAAAAGCCTGCATCAACGTGCAAAATAGAGACGAATATTGTTTTAAATGGGCATTAATATCGGCTTTTGTGAAATTACCTTGTAATAAGAATCTACCCAATCAATATAAACGTAAAGGCATTTACAACATTGGATCGGATATAATAAATATAAATAATAAATCATTAAATTTTAGTGGATTAAAATTCCCCACACCGGTCGACAGCATAAAAATATTTGAAGAAAATAATCCTGAAATTAGTATAACTGTGTTGGGTGTAGACAGCGATGAAAAGACAATTATCGGTCCATATTATTTAACTAATAATAAAACTGACAACGTTTTACACACTATATATCTACTACTTCTCGAGAAGGATGACAAATATCACTATGCTTGGATTAAAAATATTTCCAAGTAAGTATTAAATTAGAAAATTAAAAAATAAAAAAAATTATATTTATTTCTTTGATTCTCCATTAGATTACTTCGCAAACAAATAACGAAAAGTACGAGGAAGATTCATCTATGCAATAGCTGTTTTCTAAATTTCTACGATAGCGACAAACTGGAACGACATATTATGGAGTGTAATAGAATTATAACTGAGATGCCTAATTTAAAAAATCAATTAGATGTTCCTTTTGTAGCATATGCTGATTTTGAGTGTATTTTAGAAGGGATGAATCTGAAAACTTCGGATAACATAAATTTGATTCAAAAGCACATACCGTATGCATATAGTTATTATATAAAGTGTTCATTTGACAATAGTTTGGATATATATCGAATATATTATGGTGAAGATTGTGCAACACATTTTGTTGAGAGCATATATAATGATTGTTTAGTGTTATATCAAAATCACTTAAATGTAACGATACCCTTATATCCGCTATCAATGGAGCAACAAAAAATAATTGACTTAGAACAAAATTGTAGTATATGCGGTAATATATTAACTGAACAATCTAAAAGAGTTCTAGACCATTGTCACTTAACAGGCAAATATAGAGGTGTAGCACATAATAATTGCAATTTAAACTATAAATTAGCTAAATTTTTCCCAATATTTTTCCATAATCTCTCGGCATACGATGCTCATTTATTTGTAAAAGAATTAATTAAAATTCCTGGTGATATTTCTATAATTCCGCTAAACAAAGAGTTTTATATTTCGATCTCAAAGAAAATTTATATAAATCCCAATGAAACGTTAGAACTTCGATTTTTAGATTCATTTAGATTTATGCCTTCCAGTTTAGACAGCTTAGCCAGTTATTTAAAAGAAGAAAATCTAACCACAATAAAGTCATTTTTCACGGACCCGAACAAATTTCAAATGGTTAAACGTAAAGGCATATTTCCGTATAGCTATTTAAATTCAGTTGAACGCTTGTCAGATACACAATTACCGTTGCGCGAAAATTTTTATAACCAATTAACTGATAGACACTGTTCTGAAGAGAGTTATCAGCACGCTCAAAACGTTTGGAATGCCTTCGAGTGCACAAATTTATTAGATTATTTATTATTATATTTTAAGGTAGATGTGCTGTTGCTATGTGATGTTTTTGAGAATTTTAGAACAGTATGTAAAAAAATCTATAATTTAGATCCTTGTCAATATTATACAACTCCTGGTCTATCGTGGGATGCTATGTTGAAGACAACTAAAATTGAATTAGAACTACTCACAGATATTGATATGTATAATTTTATAATGAAAGGTATTAGAGGTGGTCTTGTTCAATGTAGTAAACGTCATTCTATTGCAAATAACAAATATCTAAATAACGATTACGACTGTGAGAAAGAATCAAATTATATTGTATACTTAGATGTTAATAATTTATATGGGTATGCTATGTCACAAGCTATTCCGTATAAAAATTTTAAATGGCTAGAAGAAACAGAAGAGGGAATTTTTGAAAATTTTGATTTAAACACGTGCGTAGATGATCAACCAATTGGTTATATTTTAGATGTCGATTTGGAATACACTGAAAACTTACACAGCCAGCACAATGATTTACCATTTTGTTCGCAGAACAAAAAAAATGAAAATATGCAACAATCAAAATTGATTGCAGACTTGACAAACAAATATAATTATATAATTCACTATAGAAATTTGCAGCAATGTCTTCGACATGGACTGATTTTAAAGAAAATTCATCGAATATTACAATTTGAACAATCTGATTGGCTTAAAAAATATATTGATTGTAACAATCATCACAGAACATTGGCTGTTAATGATTTTGAAAAGAATTTTTTCAAACTGCTAAACAATACAATGGAGAATGTCGACAAGAGAAAATCAATTAGATTAGTGTCCAGGTGGGAGAGTGATGGTAAAAAATTGGGAGCTAGAGCACTTATCTCAAAATTTAATTTTAAGAATATATTGCAATTGGCCGATGATTTCTTTGCAATTCAAATGAAAAAAGTGCATGTTGTCTATGATAAGCCTGTCTACATTGGCTTCACCGTTCTAGAATTATCAAAATTTAAAATGTACAATTTTCACTATGACTATATGAAGCCGAAATATCAAGAAAATATAAATTTAGTGTATATGGATACTGATTCTTTTATCTATGATATTAAGACTATAGATTTTTATGATGACATTCGTTTTGAAATTGATCAGCATTTCGATACTTCAGAATATGATAAGGATAATGTTTTTAAATTACCATTGATAAACAAAAAAAAATTAGGTATGATGAAAGATGAGTGCAGGGGGGATATAATAAAAGAATTTATTGGACTCAGAGCTAAAATGTATTCAATACAAGTCTCTAATATAAATAATGCTGAAACAACGGAGATCAAAAAAATTAAAGGAGTAAAGGCGAGTGTGACCTCAAAATTAACTATTAACGATTTTCGAGATTGCTTGTATAAAAAAAATAAGCAAGTTGGAACAATGTACTTATTTAAATCGAAATTACATCAAATTTATACGCAAGAGTATACAAAAGTCACCCTAAACTATTTAGATGATAAGCGCTATATAAAAGAGAATAATATAGACACACTTGCATGGGGTCACAAAGATATAGCCTACTAAGTTAAGCTAAAAATAAAAAAAAATTGTCTTTTTTGCTTTATACAAATATATTACATTTTATTTTTTCGAAATAAAAATTTTAAACATAAATGACCACAGTTATATGTATTGAATTTTTGTTCATTTCTATAGTTATATTCAATGGGTGGTTTTAAATATTTCACAATTTCAATGGGCGGTTGCAAATCACCAAAACTATCATAGTATTCTTTATAATTTCTATTCTTGAAATATGCTTCCCAATGCGTACCACTACCGCTTTCGTTATCTAAATTAATTATCCCACATTCGTTGGTCCATGGTTTCTTGGGGAGACGATCACGCATAAAAACACCACGAAAGTGTCTAAAATGCTGTTTACCAAAATCAATTAAATCAATATCGGTAAGTGCTTGTTTGGGTAGCATATTTATTAGTTTTTTGCTGAATATGGCTTATAAAATAGTCCATATCCTTTCTTATAAGGTTTCAAGAAAAGTCCTTTTCCCATCGCAATTGATTCCATATAGCGGTTATGACGTGTCGCTTCGGCTAATTGTTCTTTACCATTTTTGACAGCGTTTATTGCTTTAGCAACAGCAGATCCACCACTAGCAAGACCACCAACTGCACCAAGTGCAGTCAATATTGGTATCAACGGTAGGAATCCTCCAATTTTTGGTAATGGTATCACCCTCGGAATATTGGAGATATTATTCGCTAGACCTCGTCTTCGTCCTCGTTGTCCTCGTTGTCTTCGATGAAAACTAGGTGGGATTGATTGTTGAGATATCTGAATTGCTTCATCGATACTCGTAGGATTTCTTCGTTTCAAAATTCGCTTCGTTTGACTCACAATGCTTGCGAATGATTTTTTTCTTGTTTGTCGATGACGTCGACGTTGTTTTTTTTTATTACTAGCTGGTTTCCTCTTACGTTGACGTCGATTAGATTTGTTTTTAGACATACCTAGACCGAATTTAACTTTTGTTTTCATAGCGTTAGTCACAAACCAAGCAGCAGAACGTTCTTTTAGACCGCTATCTTTTGCTTTAAAACGTTCCCACGGTCTATCACCTAAAATATCATCGGCTTGATGACGATTTTTCAGGTCTTTGAATTGTGAATATGCAATATCGTGTTCTCGACACGCTGCATCTAGCGGATTAATCCCTTTGTCTCCACGTTTCAAACGCTCTGCAAGTTTTGTGCCTGGTCCACAAAATTGATATCCTGGCAAATGAAGTTCAATTGGTAGTTTGTTAATCAAGTTGTTAACGAGTCCACTACCAATTCGATACTCATATGAATTTAATTTATGTTTATAATTTATACGCATTATTGCATTTCCTTTTTTTTTTGTTTTTTGTTTATGACTATTCTGTTTCAATGACAATCGTACATTAAACAAAAACGAAATATATACTCAAATATTTATAGTATTTTCATTAGTAGTTGTAAAAATTTGTTCAATAAAACAACAACAACAACAACAACAAAATGAGATTTATAAAACAAACCAGACAAATTAAAGTTCGAAATGTCGATCAAATTTGTGGTGAGGGGGATAGGAGTGGAAAAATTACACATAGCCCATTGTTACCGAATTCGATACGTGCTCTAATTGTGGGGCCATCTAATTGTGGAAAGACAAACGTAATGATAAGTTTGATCGAAAGTCCCAATGGACTTAAATTTCAAAATATATACATTTATTCAAAATCGTTGTATCAGCCAAAGTATCAATATTTAATGAAATTGATTAAACCAATTAAGGGGATACACATGTTCACGTTTTCAGACAAGGAAAAAGTCGTCAGTCCAGAAAGGGCTAGACCACACTCAATAATGATATTTGATGTCGTAATCTGTGATAAGCAAACAGCAATAAGAGATTATTTCTGTATGGGTCGCCACAAACACATAGACTCCTTCTATCTATGTCAAACTTATACAAAAATACCAAAACATTTAATACGTGACAACGCTAATTTGATTATAATTTTTAAACAAGATGAAATGAATATTAAACATATTTACAATGATCATGTTATAGGCGATATGACTTTTAAGCAATTTATAAAAATTTGTGAGGAATGCTGCAAGCAAAAATATGAATTCGTTCTCATAAGTAAAGATAATGATATTGATAAAGGACGATATAGAAAAGGATTCGATAGTTTTATACATCTTTAATCATCATCATCTCTCGATCAGCTCTGGATCAGCTCGGCATCAGCTTTGAATCAGCTTCGGATCAGCTTTGGATCAGCTTTTGGATCAGCTATATATATATATATATATACATATATATATCATATATTTTACTAGTAAATAAATGGTTTTTAAACAAACAACAACAACAACAACAACCACAGCAGCAATGGTCAAATCAAAAAATAAGACTAAAGTGTTGGATGATCTGATTCAAACCAGATTGTTGTTGACACAGAAATTGAAGAGCATGAAGTCGAATGAAATGGATCGAATTAATATGCTGGAAAATACCTTTAAACCAATTACAAAACCTTTGAATGTGATTGCGGAAAATTTTCTAAAAAAGAACAAGAAGGCAAACAAATACAACAACAACAACAACAACAACAACAACAACAATAATAAGCGTGAACTGATAAAATATGATGATCATCAGCATCGAGGTCTTCAAGAAGGAGAACAACAGCAGCAGCAGCAACAACAACAACAACAAAAACAACAACAACATGTTGAAATGCTTAAACACAAAAGACGATACTCTCCAAAGAGGGTTATGCGAAGAAGACTAGATAACACCGACAACACAAACAACGATTTGGAGATAAAAGTGAGAAAATTTAAATCCTATAATGCAAACAGAAGGAAAAGAAGACCTTATCAACGAAGAAACATCCAGCATGAGGATGCTGCTGCTGCTGCTGGCTGGCTGGCTAATGATGATGATGCTAATGTGTTTGATATGGAATTTAATCGTCCGCAAATAACGAGTTTTCCAATAACCAACAATACAACAACAACAACAACAACAACCCACCCGACTTGATAGATACTTCCAACGAAATCCTATCAGACTATACTTCATTTTTGGATAGTCAAAGAGCAAAATACTCTAATTTATTAGAAAAAAACAGTCCTGCACACACACTAAAACGGGGAAACGATGATGATGACCACAATGCAGTAGTTAGTAGTAGTACATCTGCTGCTCTCCCTCTCCCTCTCCCTCCTGCTCCCCCTGCCCCCCCAGCTCTCCCTCTCCCTCCTGCTCCCCCTGCCCCCCCAGCTCTCCCTGCTGCTGCTGCTGCTGCTGTTGATGATGATGATGATGATTATGATTTAAAATTAAGTCTTTTTAAAAATCTCAAACGTAATGCTAACATTGAGAATTTATCTTTAGCAGCAGTCCAGCCTAATAACAAGAGATACAAATTACCTTTTAATCTGCTACAAAGAGATTCTATGCTTGAAAAAAGTCGTAAGGTCAATGGTCCCAAATTTAATAGATTTAAAAAAACAGCACAGACATCGTCATCGAACATTATAAATTTTATACCGAGATCATACACACACACAAAAAAAAACGAAGTGCTCACACAGAAAATTTACCTCTGCCTCAGTCTTCTTCTTCCTCTAATAAAAGATTAAAATTAATCGAAAAAAGAGATTCTATGCTTGAGAAAAGTTTTTTGATAAATGGACCCAGATATCCAAGATATAACAAGACAAAACAACAGCCACAACAACAACAACAACAACAACAACAGCAACAAAACAACAACAATGTGATCAAAAAGGAAAAACAAATTGCAATCAAGAGAAAATCACCGTTTTTGCATAATATTCAGCTCTTAAAAAGTCAAAAACAATTGGACATGTTGTATGGTCTGAATATAAAAGAAAATGGTGAATGGTATTTTGCCAATAGTAAATTGAAATATAATAATAATAACACAATTATTATTGATAAGGAAAAATGGAAATTGACTCCTGGTCTATTTCAATTGTTATTTCACACGAAGCCCGCGCATTATTCAAATCTGGACTTGAAAAATTATCGAGATATTCTCTTAAGAACAAACGCACACAAACGAAAATATCAGAATAGTTCACAAGTTAAGGGGTCTAAATCCTTTAAGTATCAGCATATTATAAAAAATCTATTCAAACCGAAAACACAACTTATTGGTAAAGGTTTGCTTACAACACAAACAGCAGCAGCAGCAGCAGCAACAACAAAATCTTACTCCAAGGAGGATAGAGGATACAAGTATTGGGATGATCCGAATGAATTAATCGAGAGATTACGATTACTATTAGCATCCGAGAGTGCTGGAAATACCAATCACAAAAACGAAATTATATCCATTATTGAAGAGCTTAGAGAGGCAAATATAATAAAATGAATCAGATTAATAAATTTGGTGAAAGCTTGTCGTCCGGAGGAGTAGGAGGAGGAGGAGGAGGAGCAAGTCTAAAAAAATATATTTTAAATCGACAAGAGAAAACGGATATTGATTTAAACAGCTTGAGACAGAGCATAAATATTTTAAAAAGCAAAATAATTACATTGGAAACAAACCTTCAATCAGAGGTCAGTGAAAGTGCGAATCTTATAAAATTAGCTCTAGAGGACTACTCTCAAGATATTTATACTAAGTATATAGAGCGATTAGAAGAAAATATTCAACGACTTGAGGACGTTCTCTTTAAATTACTCTCTACACAGCTACCTACGGATGAGGTGAAAAAAATTAAAGTACAGTTCCCCATTGTTGTTAAATATATTGACAATAAAATAAAACAAAATGAGTGACAACAACAACAATAACTTGAATGCGGATAAAAGACAACTCACCGAAGAGTTGCATAGACAAGGACGAAAAAATTTTATCAGACGACGTGTGATAATGAAGGGGATAGATGATTTATGGCAAGCCGATTTAGTTGAAATGATACCCTATCAGTTATATAATAAGGGATATCGTTATCTTTTAACTGTTATTGACACGTTTTCGAAGCAAGCATGGGCTGTTGCTAT